ACCTCACCTTCAGTTCTTTTTCGACAAGAGATGCTTCAAAGAAGAACCACAGCCGCAGCACAAGATAGATCCCCGGCGGTTCCACACCGAAATCAGGGCACGCGTGAAGGGTACGGGTAGTCGCACGTGGTGTGCTTCGAAACCTGTGCAGGAAGAGTGTGTGTACAAGCGCTGGGAGAGGGCCGGAAACTGGTGTCTACTCTCCCAGAGCCAGGCACCGCAAAAACACACTTCGTAAGACCCCGCGACAGGGGCGATCGTGCAACGGTGAGCAACACGACTAGGACGATGCCGATGATCGCTTTTGAGGAAATGCCTTTTCAATTTAGTGTTTTACCTCAAATAGAAAGCACCGACCGTGGCGCCAATCGCAACAGACCCAGAGCCGCCCTGCCCTGTACGAGACAAAACTTGACATCAGCAAGCACGCACAGCATTCTACCCACTCTCTCTGCGCAAATACGGGCGATGATTTCTTTCACGTGAGGAAGCAGAATATACCCCAAGACAAAACTGTTTATCGCTCAAAAAAGCACGATAGTGATTCGTGCCCACCAGAAAAACATTGGTTCGGCAGCGAGTCAAAAAATCAACCCGATTTCAGAAGGCGATGGTAGCCAACATGACTCGTACGCACCGCTTTCATCGCCAGAATAGCAGCTGTAGTAGCATCACCAAGGCTTAGACTGCAAGAGATCGATAGCTTGTTGTGTGCATCACTCGACCACACAAACGACGGCGGTTAAGCTATGCCTCGACAGTTGAAGTTCTTTTTACAGCTACGAAGTCCATTTTACCGCTTGTGTATGGGTTAGGAAAACCTACACTTGTCACTACCGTTCGCCACCACCCTCGTGCGTCTAGATGAGCTATAATATTCTATCATGCTAGTTTAAATGGCGCTGCGTCACAGGAAGCTCAGGATGAAGGCGAACCCATCGTGCTTTGACTTGAGCACCTTGTTGGAACCTGTCCTTTCGAGGTTTCCGAATCTCATATACGTTGGGATCTGGTATCACGACGGTAAAGTGCTTCTCTACATACAAAATGATCACAACATGTCAGCTCTCACGCTCGGCGAACAAGTAGAGAAGGCACATGTAGACATTGTTGATATCTCGTCGTATTCTACCACGGAAGGCGAGCTGCAAGAGGAGTGGCGATCCAAGCCAGTTCGCGCAAAGAAGAGCATTGCCGTCAACGCCGACACTACCGCTGTATTTGTGCACCCCCTCGGCAAGGAGTCTCTGCAACACATCACGAGTGATTTCGTCGTGGATTTGCTGAAACCCCTTCCTGGACTCGATGTCTTCTACAAATTTGGGTTAAAGCTGTACTCGTTAGAGCAAAACGTAAACTTTCGGGCACGCAAAGGGTGCAAGAAGGCCAGGTTGTGTTGTAGCCGCAAAGGATGGACAACCGCCCCAAAGGAAGAGGCATACGACGAGATCCTGCAAATCCTTGTGCAGAAGACCCAGGAAGCTGTAAACAAGTTCACCGGGAAAATCCCGCCTTGCTACATCGATCATTTCGAGAAGTACGCAGAGAGCATCCTTGACTACAAGAACTGCCGCGTTCCCGAGCAGAGGAAGTTGTACGAGAGGAGGAGGAACAAAGTGCTGAACAATATCGCTGTCAGCGTAAACGAGAGGTTGAGCCGGCTGAGTAGCTGGAGCGGCAAGAAGCGCAAGCTCGTCTACACAGCGCCTCCCGCGAAGCCCGCTTGATGTACGAGTCATTCACCGATGGCTACATTCCGCCGATGGCAGACATTGCCAAGACTTATCGGCGCGACGTCTGTTTGGTCTGCTCGTAGGAGGGAATTTGTTGCTGAATGTACATTGCTTGGCATCATGTTCGCCAATTCAAATCACGTGCTCAAACTATCATTTTCTTGTAGCAAGGCATGGGGCAGAGCCATCATCATGTACACACCAGTGATTCGCAAGAGGTGTTTTGTCTTCTGCATAGCCCTCGAGCAGCTGGCCGCGGCACAACAGGCACTGTTTTCCCGCCATCGGCATGACGGAAACAAAAATGTAACCATTGCCGTTCAAATGTTTCAATTAATCCAACACCTCGCCGGTCATACCCTCTACCCTCCTCGCGGAACACGCGATGAATTCATCCAAGCAGGCACTCTAAGTCACCTTAACGTCAACAGCACACCGCTGGCCACGCCATATGGCCGCCTCATTCTCAGGCAACAGCTACGCAACAGCAGTCAGGGAGGGTCGTTGTGGTCCTTAAGGCGACACGCGGCCAGCTTGCATGAACTGTCGCTCAGCTTCCTCACGCGCTTGGCCCGCGACCGGGTGAGCGTACGCGGCGGTGGCGGACAATCTGTGCCACCTCCGCATCGACTGCGTGTAAGGCGGGCGCCAGTTCCTCCATTTCTGTGTCTGTGTCGCTGTCGGAGATGTGTTGGACGACGGGAGCCGGCTCTTCGAGTTCAGTGTCTGTGATCGGGCCGTGATTGCTTCCGTCATCCGATACTTCGGAGTTTCCCATCCTGGTTTTTATCATTTGCAATGTCGTGTGTGTTGTCAGGAAAGTCTGCTGTGAAGAGCAACGCGTGTGGTACGGAAACACACGTTTTCGATAGAGAAAAAAGGCGTGCGCTCAGCACCCACGCATGAAACAAGAACGTCCTTCCGCTTGCTGGCCGTGAGACGTGTTGAATACACGCGCATAAGCTACACACGCGCCATGCCCTAGGGAGACCAAGGAAGTCAAATCCGTTGTACCAGACCGGAGTTTACACACGCACACTGACATCCACGGTAGGTGCCGTCGAAACAGAATTGGAAGCTCCGATCCAGGATCAGGACCAGCACATGGGTGTGTACGATCTCGACTTGGAAGGAGGAGGCAATAACAGAACAGCACACAAAGCTTTTCAACACAATCGAAAATTAAAACCAAGCACACGCGTTCTTGTAATCGTCAAAACTGCACATACACGACATCAGCGCTTGCGGATCTTGTTGCGAGACACGTACAACGCACGCGAATTGGCTTGGGATAAAGTTACCGGCACCGGGACAAAACGCCGAGCCGGGACCAACCAAGGTCTGGAAAGGTCCTTTCTCCTTTTCTATGCGAACAGCGCTTTCTTATTCCCCTGTATGTCAGATCTTCGAGAACGGGGTTGTGTGTGCGCATTTGTCTCTACTCCCGTGCCTTTCGTGGGCCTGGTCGGGGATGATTGATTATTTCCCCGTTGTTTCGGCAAAAAAAAAGCCTTTTCTGAAATTTGCGATTATATATTTCTCACTTGCAAGGTTTGGCACCGTGTTGCAGGTGTTGAGTATCCATCCTTCGCATCCCAAGCGGCTACCACATCGTAGTCCACCCCGTTAGCTATCCGCCACGTCCCCCAGCCACACCTCCCCACCAATCTCACACATGTGTTGTTGACCGTCATGCACCACAAGTTTGGCATTCCCCTCGCCGGCTCGTCGTAGATATCCGTCACCAGCCCATCCTTTTTATTTTCTTGTGTTGGAAGTTACGCGATTGAGTGGGGCGGACCTAGAGTTTAGGGCGAGTGTATGTATGTTGCTTCTAGACACATCGGGAATCCACGGGAGAAAGCATGCTTTCACGTTGGCACTGAAAACGGCCGCAGCCCCGACACGTGCTAGAGTTTAGGACGAGTGTGCGAATGTTGTTTCTCGAAACACCGCGCGTGTACTGGAAAAAGATGAAACGCCAAACCACGCGCGACGGACATTTCGTCAAGTACCTCACCTCTTTCGCCAAAGGATCTCCTCCTGCCCACAACCATAACAACAACGGCCCCTCGTGTTGATCAGCAGCAGAAGGGTTCATCCAAGCGCGCGATCCAAGCCGCGCCGAAAGGGGGACTGCTAACGATGGTGGACGTTCGGGCGCTGCTCGCTTCTGCGAACCCGCCGGCGGAGGGGAGGGAGGGTAATCGACAGAGAGAGAGGTTTTGTTTCAAACTTTGGATATGAGGACAGCGCGCGCAAGTCCGTGCGACAAGCAAGCCAAACCTGAAACCAGGCGACGACGATAGGATCGAGGAAGGCAGTATGCTTCCTCTTCTACTCGACCCCCTCTCGTTGATTGATACATACATCTCTCCTGCATGTTACCTCTCTCTCTCTGTCCTCTTGAAACAAACACACTAGACACACCGCAAAGCACTTGCTCACCAGTTGTCACCACTCAGCAGGAAATCCGCGTGCCCCTGTTCGTGTTCTATCGTCTCGTGTCGGTGTACTCGGTGCCTGCCTGTGAGAGAGGGCACAGGCGAACGAACGCAGTGGCAAATCGGGGAAAGCATTGTGAAAATAGGAGCTACTTGGTACCAAACATGTCAGAAAACGGCCAGTTGCTCGGAACGCTTATGGTTTCGGTTGCAAGGAAGAGCTCGCCGACTATGACTTTGCAGAACCACACGAATAATGAGCCACGGACGAAAACTATAAGCTATTATCAGACTTTGAGCTAGCTACAGCCAGACGGAGGCGTGGTGTTTTCCTACGGGTCAACGCAGAGGTGGACGAAATATTGTTTGAGGAGGCATTCAGGTGCCCCAACTCAACAAAGGGACAGCAAGCTTTCCGAGGCCAACAAGTGTCCTTTGGGTTAATAGGCGCGTGCCCGTGCGGCCGCTTGCGCCTCCCGACTCTCACCCGCTATGCTTCCCACTGACGCTGGTTCATCGTTTCCCCTCCGCCGATCGGCAGGGGGCGAATCCCCTCATCCAAGCGCGTGAACCAGCTGCGCAGATAAAGGGACCAGGTGATGGGTGGGGTTTCCGCACGTGGCGTGCTTTTGGACTACCTGTGCGTGCGAGAGAGTGTGGAGAAACGGGGCATGGGTGGGGAGTTAGCTTTACATACAAACCAACAAGAGTACATCTGGCTGTCTCTCCCAAAGCTTGACGTGTACAAAACAGCAGCGCCGAAAACGGCACACGAACAGTTCGAAAAACCCCGCGACAGGCGTGATGAAGAACCATGACACCGTCGGCGTCGTTGGTCTTCTTAGTTCTCTGCTCTTCAACGACACACAAGGTATAAAATGAAAGAAGGGCTCTCACCGTTTTCGCCAGATCCAGCTGTCCGACCAGCAGCAACAACAAACGAGAGGGCACGGGCGCTCGCCGTGGCGCGTGTCTGCTGAGGCACCTGAAGGAAGACAAACAAGCAAACGAGAGATACAGGTCCGTGATCAAGGGCGGGAAATATATTTATGGACATGCGTCACATTCACAAAGCGATGGCGCAGAAAGTAGAAGCCCCAAAAC